GAAATTGAAAAATAAATAAAATTATGCGTGGCAGCATTTTCGAAGTCATTGGCAAGCGACGAAAATGAGGAGGACAAAAAACAGTCATGCCTCACTTGATTTTCCCCCCTATTTTTACATTGTGCGAATTTGGCTCTGGCAGCCATCCCATTGAAAATTCAAATCACACCAAAATTTTAAAACACACAAATCGCCGTCGAACCAAATAAAACAGCCAGAACGTAAAAATAATAATAAAAATAAAATCAGAACGTGAGGCGGGCCCCACGAAATGAAAGTGAAAACGGGCAACATTTTCTTGTCAACGGGCGAGAAAATTACACAAAGCTGTTTGGGGGAAAAAATAAAGAAGGAAAGTCACAAAATTTGTCAGGTCCTTGAAAAAAAAAAGAGAAACAAGGACAATGCCAACAAGCAACTCTTTGTGCAGGCAAAGCAAATTTTCGTTGGATTTTGTAGGGAAATGGAAAACTTGACGATACGGCAAATTTATTTCCATGGTTTATATGCTGATTCAGACAAAATGAAAAATAATCAAAATTATGAGAGTTAACTCCAACCATTAGATGGCAGACATATAATCAGAGTAAAAAGTCAAGCAGTTGGAAAATTTGAGAGCATTAGAGGGAGTTGTAATGATTTTTCCCTACTTTACAAAGTGAATAATTTTTACACTGATAAAAAAGTGAAGTAACAAAAATAAAATCATGCAAATAGAATTTGGAATCTTGTATTAAAAAATATATAAATTATTTAATAAAAAATGTATTTAATTCAGGATTTAATTTGAAAGTGTTGAGAATATTTTAATCAAGGTAGAAAATATAAGATATATATTATGTTACACATATATATTTTCTTTAATGTTTTTTTTAATTGAAATCAAAGTTAAAAATTCTTAAACTATAATTGTTTAAATTTATCTTTCCATTTTTAATTTCCATTTATTTTATTTTTTAAAACCAGCAATGGATTAAAATTAAAGCGAAAATATTTAAACCATCAACAGCAATAGTGGACTTACATTTTTTTTATCCATTCTAAAATGAAACTTATTATTTTAAGAGGAAGCTAAACTTTATTTGTGTCTACAATGATGAGAACTTGTGGCAATTTCAAGTGACTTAGAGCGCTTTTAACAGTTTTTCTCACTATTAAGCTTCATTATGTGTTTTATGACTGCGATTCGCTGTAAAGACGCCCTATCTGCGCTATCTGCACTATCTGAATCCGACTTGGTATTTCTGTATATTCTTTTTATGATTTATGGGAACGTGCTTGGATGGCACATTTCCATTCGCTCACTTTCGGCCACATTGTTCCCCTGGAGAATTCCTCCATTCTTCGGAAGACACAGATACAGTCTGGCGCCTTCTCTGGAGCTCGAATGTGAATACAAGTACTCAAGATCATATCATATCGTATTACTTCCCCCCAGTCTTCAACGAGTTCTTTTTTTTGGTTCTGTTTCTCTTCTGTTTTCTTTTTTGCTTTCTGCTGGCAGTACCTCCCACTTTTCTCTTTTTCTTGTATGGAAAAAATTTAGACATTTTGTAGCCAGTTTATAGATGGTAAGGCAACGGAATCGTCTGGCATCGTCCCCCTTTTTTTCTCCCTCCAACGTACTTGCCCCCACAATTGAGGCCTGTTTGGTTTTCGCCCATAATTTTTGTGCCGTTTTACAACAAACGGGCACATAACTCTCAGACTCGTCGACTTATGAACGGGGTACGGACCAGTCCGGTCCGGGCTTATCTGTCGGCGCCGGGCCTCATCATACCATGGTACCATACCATACCATACCGTATACCATCCCATACCATACCATACCATCTACCCCTTCCTCTGGGCTACTCTGGGTGCAAAATGATTTTCACATGTTTTCCTTTATTTTCCTTTATCTGTGAGCACGTTGCTGTTTTCGCACTTTTGTTGGCTTGCATGTGTTTTACCACTTTTCGTTTTCCCTGTCGCATTTCCTTAGACCCCCCTCCCTCTTTTGGCTTTTAATTAAAATTGCAGCTAAATTATGAACTTTTCTTTTCTCGACCGCCTGCAAATTTCTTTCAGGCGATGGGTCTGGGTCTTTGCCTCGACCCGACTCGGCCGTATATCAAAAAACGGCATTCTCTCTGGCCAAGATGGCTAAGATGTGCAAATTTCACTTGGCCCAGTAATTGAAGTTTTCCCCCTGGAAAAAAAAAAGAAAAAAGAATCTGGGTGAAAAAAACCGAAAGAAAAGAATACAGAACGCGTAATGGGGCCGCAGCAAATGAACTGTGAAGGAAATTCGCGTAAAAATGCGTTTTATTGTTACCCAATTAAGCCGATCGGCTGCATCGTTGGCCATGCTTGAGTAAATCCCCACCACTCACTGAGGTTTTTCAACGATTTTCCAATCCCAGAGGCCACCGAAAATTTATGTGCTACTTTGGCTAATCGGCGGGAGCTTCGAAATATTTTTGTTTCTTTTTTTTTTGGGGGGTAGGGGTTCGACGTTTGTTCTTTTCTGTGGTTCCTCTAATTGTCTGCCAATGGAATTTATGCGGGGTCTGTGGAATTTTCGCGGTCCGCTTTTCATCGCCGTCTCGTTTTCGTTCCGCAATATCAACTCAATTACAATGCGTGTCAATGGCAATGATACGACAATAGGACGCCTCCCCGAAGGCCATTTGGTTGGGGGGGGGTTGGACTGAGGGGACTTCAACTGGCGGACAATATCGTATTATTATTATCATCGTTATCATTAAAAGCGATATGGGTAGACGGGGAGGAAATAAAGCTCTTAATAAGATTCATATTGACGCGGGAGAAGAAAATGGAAATAATACTCCTGAGTGTCGGTGGGAAATTCGGAAGTTAAGAAAGAATGCAAACTGGAAATGCTCTTATTAAGTTTTGGAAGAAGCTATACTTCAATTTACTTTAAAAAATATCAGTAAATATTAAAAATGAATTATTTAAAATAACAATACTTGTTTTATGATAGATGAATTTAACCGAAAATTATAACTTAATAAATTATTCTAGTTTAGTAACTTATAGCTAATATTTATTATGACAATCGTTGTTTTATCATAGGTCATCCAGTCATATTCTTTAAGACTACTTAAGGATCTAGTAGTTTAGTTGTTAGTTAGTAGGCTGACTAGATAAATTGATAAATAGAATAGATTATAGGCTTATTTCCAGTGACTCATAGTTAATACTATATAAGAAATTTGTTGTTTTAACGCAATTACTTTAGTCAAACCGTGCATAGAATTCCTGGTACCCTGATGTTCGAAACCCCTTTGACCCACTATGATGCCTTGAAACCCCCCCTCCCAAAGAAGTCGAAAAGATGGGCAAAAATAAAATCCATTTAAAATTGTGCAGTAGCAGTGGCGATGATGACAAAATGACATTATGGGTTAAGGCAAGGAAGCTCGAAGCACAGAGCACATGTCGTGTGCCTGCTGCCTGGATAAGGTCCTTCGATAAGTATTCCGGGCATCATCGCTCCGGCTCGAGATTCATTCGGTCTGTCTGGATCTGGGTATGGGTACGGGTTTGGGTCTGAATCCATTGTTGCTGCTGTTGTTATTATTTGCCAAATAAGCGAACGGCCATCCGCGTTGTCTTCCTGCCACGCCCACCTCCTGAGAGGCAGCTCCTTTGTTGTCAGCCTTCAGTGTTCATCCTTATGCCTGCTGCCCTCCACTCTCGTCGCTCGTCGATGATGCAGACATAAGATATGAAAAATATGAGGCAACAGCAATCACAATAGTCGCACCAGTCACCAAAGGCAATCACCAACTACCCATCCCAGATTCCCATGCCTGATGCCCGATGCCCGATGCCAAAATCCCCCTCGACAGGCGCTCATGCGTGGGCAACGGCGGACAATCCCAGTAAATACAGATGAGGGCAAGAGAATATCACTTTAACTTTAAGATGTCTTGGGTGATTGCCTTGCCTTGCAATATAAGCAAATTTTAATTAAAAAGTGAAAAGTAAGCAGCTTGCACCTGATTCCTCATTATTGGTAATGAGTTAACTCCTTACCAAAGCTGAATTGACCTTACCTTCTGTTTTGACCGCAACTGTATGACTTATACAAAGAGGACACGTGTGTGTCTGCGTTTGTGTATAAATCACCCTTAATGCCTTTTTACCAAAATAAAAGCGAGTGGGGTATGGGGTCAAAGGAAACTTCGTAGAACGGAGGAGCAACCTCAGTGGTCCCACGAACACCATAAATTGAAGTCAAGTGCTGCCAATTAGTTGCTATATTTTATGATATTTTCCGACTAATTAAATGAACATTTACGTCGTCCAAGTGGGCGGTCAGTCTGGAAAATCGATAAAGAGCAGCGAAAAAAAAATAAAAGCATAAAAAATATATAAATGAAAGTTAGCAGTAAGCCCAGCCCCAACATCACATCCCCCCCACCCCCAATGTTCTTGGGTTTTCTTCTATTTTTTTTCATCAATCAAGGATACAACAACAGCAACCATAACAACAACAATAATCAATCATAAGCAAGACAGGGGATAAAGGGAGTAACTCAGCTGCCCCCACACCTGTCCGAAAAATAGAGCACGTAACAGTTTCCCATCATTATTAATTATTTATGAAATTTGCGGAACCCATACCATCTTATTTCATACCCATTCCACCCCACAAAACCTATCCATCTAACATGGAAAAACGAGGCTAACGGCAGGGACTGCCATTATATGATTAGCTCTCTTTGGACCCAATGCTGATATCCTTGATAATAACAAAATGGGAGCGGGTTAACCTCGTTAGCCAATGACGGTAATTTGGTGAAACTATCGGGGACCAATAGAGCAAACTGTTTGCAATGGCCATGTGTTATTACCAAACTTAAATTGGGCTTCAAAATTACACTTTTTCGAGGGTAGTCAAAAATGCGGGTTCTGGGTCTTAGATTGTATTATATCTTATTGATTATTCCTCTTTATAACCAAGGTTTATTCCCCTTCTCTTTCAGTGTGCCAGTGCAATGGACACGCCCGTCGCTGCCGATTCAACCTGGAGTTATACAAGCTATCTGGCCGGGTTTCGGGAGGTGTGTGCTACAACTGCCAGCACGATACTACCGGAAGATACTGTCACTACTGTCGCGAGGGATATTACCGGGATGCCACTAAGCCGCCAAATCATCGCAAAGTCTGCAAGCGTAAGTTTTGCTTTCTCTCGTCTTCTGCTGATTGAATGTTGAAGAACAAGATTTGGTGGTTAAATAAAGTATCCAGGGGTATTCCTATTTTCAGTGACAGTGGGTGATTTAATAAATTACACATATAAGCTTACTTTTCAAAATTAAATATAAGGCTTTTCCAAATTATTTTGTTCCATATTGAAGGGTTCTCTTCTATTTTAAATATCATGTAATGGGTATTGCCTGTCCCTATTCCTGTCAATGAACCGAATAGAGAAGTGTCCGACCTGCCAGGGTATTTTCTTTTTCCCCTTGTTTATTGATAATAAGCTGTCATCAATCAGTGGTCCCATAAGCTGTCTGCCAGACAGACAGGCAGACAGACAGATAGACACATGGACAGCTGCGTGGAATAGATGGATGGATGGATGGAATGAGAGTCGCTCTAATGAGGATGACATATACCCCCTCTATTCGCAGGTTGCGACTGCCATCCAGTGGGTTCGACGGGCAAGACGTGCAATCACCTAAGTGGCCAGTGTCCCTGCAAGGAGGGCGTCACCGGACTGACCTGCAACCGATGTGCCAGGGGCTACCAGCAGACCCGGTCCCACGTGGCACCCTGCATCAGTGAGTTCAGTTCCAGGGAGAGATCCTCGGGTGCCATGGTTTCTAATCCCGCCGTTTTTTTTTACCTTTCCTGTTTTCCCCATTACAATTAACAGAAGTGCCCACCAATGCGAATATGATTCAGGCCGAGAGTGCTGGCGGCGGAGGAAGTGGCACAGGTGATTACAAGGACGGCGGTGGTTCGCAGGTCGAGGAAATGAAGAAGTGTAAGTACACCGAGAGAAAACTCCATTGGGTTAGCAGGAAAATAGCAATTCTTCTTCCACAGACTGCGGCAAATGCAAGGCAAGTCCCAAGAAGCTCAACCTCAACAAGTTTTGCATGGAAGATTATGGTAAGTGTGATCGAAAATGTTATACTATTTATTATATAGGTTCTGGATAAGTAGAATATATTACATAAAAAGTTTACTAACAAGTTAAACTCGATGTATTAGATTAGTAAAAATAATTTATTCATATAATTCTTTAGTTGGATAATTCTTTTAATTGGATTTCTTTTAAAACTTGATACTTTCTTGATATTATCGATAATGATATATCACCCATTAAATACATTTTTTCCCACCTCTCTACTTTACCCACAGCCATTTTGGCCAAGGTTATTGGCCACGATCGCGCCTCCCAGGACATCAGCACGGAAAAGTTCTCCATAGAGCGGCAGAACGAGATCTACAAGTACGAGATCAACATCCAGACGATCTTCAAGCGGAATCCCATGTCGGGCACGACCAGTTCCTTGCTGGGCAGAGGCAATATGATGCTGCTGGTGCCGCGCAAGAGCATCGAGTGCCAGTGTCCCAAAATAAAGCTAAACAAGTGAGTAGACCATTATAATTAATCAACTTGTTATTTATTGCTACATAATTAATTAGTATTATTTGATATTAACGTTCCGTAACAATCAGTAACATTATTATATTTTAATACATTTGGTATACAAAGGCAACCAGTAGAGCACCACTTTTAAGCAAGTACAGACATGATCTTGCTTTCAAATCTCTCTGAACTCCTTCTTTAAAAAAGAGTGAGACAGCTATACACTAACGCGTGGGATAAAATGAATTAGAGAGGGATAACTATATTATAATTAGTCGGATAACATGGATTAGAAAGGGATAACTTTATTCTACCTAGTCGTAAAACACGGATTAGAAAGGTATAACTATATATGTTAACGTATATATGACAATGTAAGACATGTCTCATTCTGACAGTTATTTGCATTCTGACAGCCAAAACAATGTTTACTTTGAGCGGAAAATGTGATTCCGATTTTTGTCAAAAATGCTAATTTTTAGCCGGTTTTCGAGCGTAGTTTAGCTAAATCAAGGCGTACAGCAAAAAGACCGACTGTTTTGGAAAGCTTGCTATATTTGCTAACGATCCCTATCACTTTAGGGAACATTTATTTTTTGACCGATTTTCGCATTTTTTATAAGGGGGTAGGTCATCTATTTTGAAGATTCAGATTTTGGCCAAAAATACGTTTTTTTTTAGTGGTTTTTCGCTCGTAGTTTAGCCAAATAAAGGCGTACAGCAAAAATACCGACTGTTTTGGAAAGCTTGGTATATTTGCTAACGATCCATATCACCTTAAGGAATACTAATTTTTTGACCGATTTTCGCATTTTTTATAAGGGGGTAGGTCATTTATTTTTGCGATTCAGATTTTGGTCAAAAATACGTTTTTTTTAGTGGTTTTTCGCTCGTAGTTTCGCCAAATCAAGGCGTACAGCAAAAAAACCGACTGTTTTGGAAAGCTTGGTATATTTGCTATCGATCCCTATCACTTTAAGGAATATTTATTTTTTGACCGATTTTTTCATTTTTTGTAAGGGGGTAGGTCATCTATTTTGGCGATTCAGATTTTGGTCAAAAATACGCTTTTTTAGTGGTTTTTCGCTCGTAGTTTCGCTAAATCAAGGCGTACAGCAAAAAAACCGACTGTTTTGGAAAGCTTGGTATATTTGCTATCGATCCCTATCACTTTAAGGAATATTTATTTTTTGACCGATTTTTTCATTTTTTGTAAGGGGGTAGGTCATCTATTTTGGCGATTCAGATTTTGGTCAAAAATACGCTTTTTTTTAGTGGTTTTTCGCTCGTAGTTTCGCCAAATCAAGGCGTACAGCAAAAAGACCGACTGTTTTGGAAAGCTTGTTATATTAGCTAACGATCCCTATCACTTTAAGGAATATTTATTTTTTGACCGATTTTTTCATTTTTTGTAAGGGGGTAGGTCATTTATTTTTGCGATTCAGATTTTGGTCAAAAATACGCTTATTTTAGTGGTTTTTCGCTCGTAGTTTCGCCAAATCAGGGCGTACAGCAAAAAGACCGACTGTTTTGGAAAGCTTGCTACATTTGCTAACGATCCGCATTACTTTGAGGAACATTTATTTTTTGACCAATTTTCGCATTTTTTGTAAGGGGGTGCATCGTCTTTTTTTGCAAAAAATGTGAAAAGTTAAAAACTTTCAGGTTTGATTGACAATGGATTTGAAATTAAGCAACGAGCTCATTTTTCACTTCTTCACTTTTTGTTCTAAAAATTTCTGGGTATATCCATGTGTTAAAACCCAACTATCCGAACTTCTTCTCTCCCCCAGATCGTATCTCATCCTCGGACGCGACTCGGAGGCGGCGCCCGGCTACTTGGCCATCGGACCCAGCTCGGTGGTCCTCGAGTGGAAGGACGAGTGGTCGCTCCGCATGAAGCGGTTCCAGCGGCGGGCCCGCAAATGCAGTTGAATCGAACCGGAAACGGAATATGTCAGAGCGGATTTCAATTTCACACACTTGGCTAGGTATCGGTTTTTGTATAAATTGTACAGTTTACTCAAGTTTCTGACCTTCTTCGGCATCATGCTATAAATTAATTGAATCGGAGCAACACAAATCCCCAAAGTAACCCCCCCCCCCAATCAGCAATTCCCAACCGGAAGTAACACATCTATATTATCTCAATTCCTTCCTAGAATATCCTCTTCCGGGGCGGTCTCTAGTCTATAAAGCGCTTTACACACCATCAGCGAACCAGTAAACACACAACGTATACATAATACCCATAATACCCCCCCCTTTATGAAACACCAAATGCTAATTACAGTTACGTGCCAATGGGTGGGCGTGGCCGCGTGTGTCCATAACGGTTGTGCTGGCCATAAAAAACGGTTATAAATTGAAAATAAGTGCGAAAAAGAGCCGAAACATCGAGGGAAAACGTCGCGTGTCGCGATTCTAGAAAGGCAAACAAGCGCATGTTTTGGGGAAAATGGTCAAACGGACAAACAGGCCACGTCGTCACATGAGTGCAGTCATAAACCAAAAACACGGGCCTTGACCGGATGACAGCCATCCACACTTTGCCAATAGTAGGGGCACTCTACAAGAATCGAGCTCAAAATAGTATTATTATTATCACGTTACCCAAAAAAATATTTTTTCAATTTGTCATATTTTCAGTATATTTTTAGAACTTTTTTTTAATGATTATAATTTTTTGTTGTCTTAGGTATGCATTTAATTTTCATATCCATACTTTTGCCAAAAGCAAGGGCACTTTGCGGAAATCAAGCTTAAAATAGTATTAATACTATCATATATCCCAAAAAAATATATTTTCAATTTGAAAGATTTTCAGTCTTTTTAAGAAATTTTCATTTTTGAAACTGGTCGTTTTTAGTATTTTTTCTGAATTTCCCTTAAAAAAACTTGTTATAATCTACAATCAACATCACATTATTTAAATTTTTCAAATACCTCAATAGATTTTCTTTTGGATTTTAGATACGGATTTTCAGATCCACACTTTTGCCAATAGTAGGGGCACTTTGCGGAAATCGACCTCTAAATAGTATTTTTATTATCATAATCTTCCAAAAATATCTTTTTAGTTTTTCAAATATTCAACCTTTTTTAGCAATTTTCCTTTCCAAAAAAACCTTGTTGCAATCTAAAAGCCATATTAAATTTTTTTAATTTCTTAAGTACATTTAAAGATTTTCCTTTGTGTCTTAGATATGCCTTTCAGATCAATATAAACTAAAGGTTTTATCGATTCATTAAAGAAACCTGATATTTGAATGGACTCAAAAAATAGATTAATTTTCAAACTAATCACTGGAAATCAAATTAAAATCTTTTACAAAGCCAAACTTAAAAGCGAAAATTAGTGTTCATTGTCTAACTCATTCAATGTCGTTATTAATTTGTTTTAAAATTAGTCATTATTGTCTGTCTTTGTTTGCTTACTTCATTAAGAGGTTTTAAAACAAATAACCTATATAACAGGGCGGCTTTGAATATCCCTGAAAATTTTAAACAAATATTGATTCAATTTTAAATGTTTGCTAAAATTCGTTTGAAATATTTACCATTTGCTGGTCTAATAATTTGCACTACTTTATTTGATCTAGTTTATTATATTCTGCGGGAGGTGTTTGAATTTTATTTATTTGTTTAATTCACACATTGAAAAAATATTTGCAAGTATTCAAAACCTTAATTTCTTGCTAAAAAAAAAGTAAAGTAATTTTTTTAGTTCTCCCAAAGCTTTTAAGGTGTCAAAGTGACTGTTTTTTATTTATAACTGCTCTTCCTGTACTTTTGTCGACCAGTAAAACATTTCTCAAGAATTTATGCAAACAGTTTTTGCAGATAATTATGCACATGTTTATTGACAATCTGCTAGTTGATTTTTCACGCGCTTTTGCATACCAATTTGTTTGATGGATGCATCAATAAAAAAGAAATAAAATCAAGCAGGGCAGCAGCGGCGGCGGCAAAACAGGCATTTAAAATGCATTTATTTGAATTTAATTTTCAATTTGAATTATGCATGCAAATTGTGAGCGCATCGATTCCCAGCCAGAGTGTCTGAAACCGAAATCGAAGGCGTTAAGAGTGAATATAAAGGTGTTGAGGGCTCGGGGGAACTGGTTGTAACTTGTTTTCGGAGCATGTGTAGGCCAGGTAACACTTGAAACCCATCCCGACCAGCTTCTCCGAACAGTGAACTTGGCTTAAAGGGGTTTTCAGATTTTATTCAAGCCATATATATTAAAATTTCACACAAAATATCCTAGTTTTCTAGTTAATTTGTATCTATTATTATAAAAAATACCAAATTTTATTTCTTTATTGGTTATATCAATTTTCTCCTTTAATGGGTTTTTACTGTTTTGCTCGATAAACATCAGAGGCAAACAAAACCATTAAAACAGCAGACAATCTGAAACCCGTAACACAAATTAAACAGCAGCAACAAACAGAGAAATTAGTCTTAAATAAGAATTTTCGATCAAAATTCCCAAGTTTCTTCATTAATTTATCAAACTAGATGTGTTAAAATTCAATTTAAAATTAGTATATAAAAATTATACAAAATGTGGTACTCTAAACATAGATTTCTGTATGTGTACCGTGGAAATGAACTTCGTGGGCCGCACCAAGTGATATCCGTGCCCCCCCAAAAAGCCGGCGATTGCAGTTACATTTTTTCGATGTTGCTGCGGATTAAACATGTTTCGGGCTCAAAAATGTAACATGATATATGACAGCCAAGTGTCGAACTTGATAAATGTTTTAATGAATTTATTTTCGTGTTTATGTGCTGGCTGCCATCCGGCAACGAGTGACTGAATCGACTTCTTTGGCTGACTTTCGGTTCGTTTTTATTTTTTTTTTTTTTTGGTTTCGATGGCTGCCACGACACCTACTCTCTGGGTCTTTTGTGGATGTCTGATTCTGATGTGCTGTGCTGTCTGCCCCATCCATAAATACACTCAGATATTCACATATACCCATGCCCATTCACAAGTTATTCAGGTCCGACCGTGACCATGATGTATGATAAATCAAAATGGGGGCAACATATGCAGGGACAGTCCGGAGTTGGACAGTTAACATGCTGCGGCATTTAAGCCGAGATTTGTGTTCGCATTCGCTCTCCGCCCAGGGACGGCATAATTAGCTCTGGCTCTTGAAATGGATGTGGATATGTGGATCTGGATCCGTATCTGTTTCTGTTTCAGTTTCTGGCCAACGCGGCGTATGAGTCACGAGCACACGTGTGCCCACAGAAAAACGCAGGGACATTCGGCTGGGAAGCGTGTCCTGGAGCAAAATAAATGCAAAATTGTCAACTTTTAACAGTATTCATTTGTGCACATTTTAATGCAGGTTGCTGCCCTGCCAAAGGGATGATATCAGCTACTCAATAGACTTGGCATTCAAAAGTAATTGCATTTTAATATGATTCAAAGCCTTATTAATATTTATTGGTATTTTTATTCTTCAAAAGATTCGAGTTTATACATTCTTTAATAAAAGAATATTAAAAAAAATATTTCTGTTAGGTTGGAAATATTTCAAACTCTTACAAAACGTTATTTTCAACTAAGTAATAATTCTTTTGACTTATCAATGGCTAGGAATAATATTAAATATTAAACTATATTTTATCATGTTCAAAAGTCTTTTATAATTTACATTTCCCAAATTAATCAAATCTATGGATTTCCCACTAAACATACATGTCAGAAATATTTTTATTAGTTTTAAAAATGCTAAATTCTCTTAAAAAGTTATTTTCAACTATGTAACAATTCAAAGACTTGGAGGTCCATATAAATATATATCTTATCATGTCTGAAATCCTTTAAAAAAATTATTGGTATTTTTTTCATTCTACATTTTTTAATCAATAATTCTAGACTAACAGCAAGCAAGAAAAATATTTCTATCGACAATATTATATTTCAAAAAATAATTTTCAACCGTGAAATAATTCTCTTGACCCTTCAGTGGATAAGGATATTTTAAGCGCGATTATATGCCATTGTTTCCAATTTTCGATCTTATTAGGGCTGGGTCCCAACCCCTTTTCACCTGAAACCTCCGAAAATAACGTTAAATAAATGCTGACAAATACAGCAAAAAAGAAAAATACAAAAAAAAGGAAAATGAAATGAGAAATTCAATTGTGGCCTCGGTCTCGTCGACTGTGGCCGGCTTCATGCCTTCATGCATATTTAAATGAGATTTTGCGTTAACTGAATTTTTTCACCGACATACTCCGGCTGCGTGGGCGGGGGGCGTGGCCAGTGGGCGTGTGGCCCTGAAAAAAAAACACATATTAATTTATATAATGTACGTGTACGCACAGAGATATAAAACATTTATATAGATTTAAATAAATTGGGTTCTTCTCATTTCGTATTTTCAGTTCTTTCTCTTTTTTTTTGCAATTTTTGTCGTTCATTTAACGCACCAGGGGGGCGGTGGGCAGTGGGCGTGGCAGCGGGCGTGTTGTCGCATATGTATTTTAAATAGGATGCAGGCCCCATTAGCATATAAATTGACGCAGCGGCAGTTGAGTGGATAAAAACGAAAAAACTCTTAACCAAGAGGCTTTACAAAAAAATAAAAAAAAGGGTTTATGGCTCGTAACTGTTAACTAGCATTTGGTCAAAAGTAAAAAAATATGCAAAAATTAATTGAAATGCCCACCAAACATCACACACACACAAGAACACTAACACTAACAGCCCCAAGCTGACAAATTGACTTCCGTTTCCGCTAATTCAAAACAAGAACAAACAAGAAAAAAAATTGAAATTTCTTCGAAAGAATGAGCAAGTACTTAAAGAGAAAGATGCAAACATAACCAAATTAGTCATTAGTTGATATGTCAAGCCGTTTATTTATTTACACCTTTTTTTCCTAAACCTAATTATAAACGAATACGGAATATATTTATAAACGAAACGCGAGGAGATCCAAGATGTATTTATATGTTATAGGAGATCACCTCCCACTTTTGGTTTGCGAATGCATTAAGCATGGCCTACTAATCACATATCCTTCAGCCACACACACACAAAAGTAAACACGATTAGTTATTAAATAATGTTTTTTTTTTGTCAGACTAATATGAGTATCATGCGTGTGTGTCCAGAACGAATTATTCATATGGTAAGCCTAAAAAAAATCACAAAGGAATACATAAAGCGCATACATACATATAAAACATAAATATACCTAATCAAAAATGAAGAAAAAACAAAAAAAAAACGTAAGGAAATGCAAAAAGAAAACAATTTTTTTCTTAGATTTTTTGTAAATACTCAAAAAGCAGATCAGATAGAACTATATATATATAGAAACACATTGATTACAATTTCGATTATTGCTAATTATTATGTTGAATCATAAATTGCACACTCACACACCCACACACCCACACACCCACTCACACACACACACACACACGAAAAGCAAGAGAAATTCACATTGTCTGATATTAAAGTATTGTAGTTGGTACTTATATAATACATATATATATATATATATATATATAAATAAATATTAAAATATGATTAATCATAATACATAAAGTATGCAATTTTTGTGGCAAAAGAAAAAAATATATCAAAGACAAGCAGATGGAGGAAAATCCAAGTTATATATATATATATCATTTATGTGTACTTGAAAAAGTAAAAAACCGAAAACAAAGCAAAAAGAGCATGAAAGTTTAATCGAATTAAGTGGACAAATTGCTAATAATAATAATAAAACTAATAACGAAATCAAGCCAATGATTGTGTTTTGTTTTGGGGATTAAGGAGGAAGTTTTTAGTGGGGGATTATGAAAAAGGTAAGAAATTATAGATATTTTAATGGGTAAGCCTAAATTTATTTTATACTACCCATTTTATTTTATTTACTAAAAAAGTTGTCCAAATATATCTTTAAATATAATAAAATATTATAAGATATTATCGATTATGTTATAAAATATAGGATGTTATTTATTATAATATAATAGTATAAGGTTTAATATTTGGTTTATAGGAAAAGGTTCCTTAGGCCACTTAAAAATATTGAATAATTTACCAAAAATGCAAGTAATCCTTGTAATTTTAATATAATAATATATTATTTATTATTGGTTTATAGGAAAAGGTTCCTCAGGCCTAATAACATTGAATAATTTACAAGAAATCAGTGGAGCCATGAGGTTAATCACAGGAAACTCATCAGGGAGGTGTCGTGCCCAAAATGCCTCCCTTTTTAGGGCAATAAAGTCGTCTCTTCTCGTTTCTTTTTTCTTTCTGGGGGAACCCCATCTGGAGCTTTGCTCTAGGCACTTATTAGGATGGTCCCTACCCAATCGGGGGACTTTCCTATTGATTTTGCATTTGCATAAGCAGTTTATTGTGCCAGAAACACACAAATACACAGCCTTATTTCCCCATTTTGCCCGGAAAAGTCCTAACCAAATAGTGCTGCATACTTTTTGGCACTCGGCACTTGTGTCCTTGGCCGGGGGAAAATTAATTTAAAGCGCAATTTAAGTAAAATTTCCGCCCGGGGGCCGTTTCTTAGTTTTATTCGAGCTCAGGTCCTTCGTCCTGCGGGCGGCAAGTGAAACTAATACGCATATTTATCAAATTTCACGGCTCCGGGGTTGCTGCTCCTGACTCCTGATACCGCTTCTGTTTCCGTTGCATCTGAAGTCGTGCCTAAATGTACATCCACTGTTCGCCGGGCTGCCCGGAAAATGCCCTGCAGCTCTTCCAGTTTTCCAAGGACCAGGACCTCCTCATCCTGCAGCAGGACTTCGATGGAGGATGAAAGTTGGTAGATGGGCGATGGTGGTGGCAAGTCGACCGCAATGCAAAGCCAAGGACCAAGTTTTTTGGTCTGGCAAACTTGACAAAGAAATAAAATGCTCCGAAATGTAAGTGGCGCAGCACGTCTGCAGAGTTTGCCCGACCAGGAAGATACCCTGGGATCACGTAGCTTGGAAAATAAGTGCCTGTCAACGGGAGGATATTCAATTTTCTTGGGTGAGCCCAGAAATTAGCTAATGGTAGTCACAAGGATTCTCTTATTTTTAAGAAAATCAAATAGGAATATTTTACAAACATTAATAGAGGTTTAGCTATCTTATAACTTACGTACTCTATTTTGAAAGTTTCCAGCCAAATAAGAAAATGATTTTATTTATTTATAAATTATTTATATACATATTTTATTTATTTAGTAAATGTATTCTATTTGAAAAACCAATTTATAATATTTAGTACATTTAATATATTTAAAAAACCATTGTCTTTATGAATAGATAATTTGTTTTATTATTAAGAAGGGAAGACGTCTTTAGAAATTCTTGGTACATCATATTAATCAATAGTGTTTTTTAAGAGCTTTCTAATTATAAAATTTTTTTCTGTAATTTTAATCATATTAATATTTTAAAAATTTTTTTTTTTTTTTTTTTTAGTATAACAAATTTCATTTATTTAACGTTGATCAGCCAACCTAATGGCTATAAAACGTTGTGTACGAAGAGAAATAATAACGTGGATACATAACAGAAAAGGTGATTAACAATATTTACAATAAATGAACAAAAACAATTTTATTGCTTTAGGACTCGAGAGACCTGACGTCCTCTTGTCCAGAGATCACCGGGGTGCCTTCGCTTTAATCTTCTTCTAGTCCTTGGGTGGGCCAAGGAAGCTGCTAGGTGGTTTTCGTGTGCAGTGAGCCGATCATTGTACCGACTAGAGTGCCGGTTTATCTGCTCCCTGACTGAGGGAACATGAAGGTCATTTGTTAGGGCGTCATTCCTGATGTACCACGGCGCGTCTGCAATCATGCGCAGCGCACGGTTTTGGACCCTTTGGACTTTCATGACGTTCGAGTCTGAAGCCATGCCCCACAGTTGGATGCAATACGTCATTGAGGGCACCACAATTGCTTTGAACAGCAAGACTTTGTTGCCAAGGCTGAGCTTGCTCGTTGGCTTAAGCAACCAGTTCAGTTTTCTCAGCTTAGCTCTACATGAAGCTGCTACTTTGGTAGTGTGCTGCTTCCAGGTGAGCCGCTTGTCCAGGATCAAACCCAAATATTGCGCATGGGGTGATTGTGGTATGGTGATATCCAGAAGCTCTACTGTGGGAAGGATCTTTCCTCTCAAGGTGAAATTGCAGTGTTGCGACTTTTTTCCATTTATGGATATGTTCCACCTATTTGTCCACTTCCCGTAAAAGTCGAGGAATTCCTGGGTAATCCTTGACGCTTCGATTGGGCAAGAGGCGTTCGCAATAAAGGCCGTGTCGTCAGCGTATGTAGCCAGAATCGTGCCCGGCTTGTTAGGACACGGCAGATCTGAAGTGAACAGAGTGTACAAAACAGGGCCCAGAACGCTTCCCTGAGGAACGCCAGCTCGAACAATTCTGATTGTTGACCTTTCCCCTCTCACCTCGACCATGAAACTTCGGTCAAGCAGGTATGATTTTAGTAAGAGGAACTGGCTAGTCGGGAGTAGGGACTTCAACTTATACAGTAAGCCATCGTGCCACACGCGGTCGAAAGCTTCCTTAACATCGAGAAAAATTGCAGAGCTGTATTGCTTGTTTTCAAAAGCATCTAAAATGTGCTGGACAACTCGATGCGCTTGCTCTGGGGTTCCATGATGATGCCTAAAACCAAACTGATGGTCGGGAATGGCATCCTGCACGCTTCTTACTCCCATGATTCTGCTAAGAAATATTCTTTCGAATATTTTAGAGAATGTGGGTAGCAAGCTTATCGGTCGGTAAGACTGAACAAGGTTCTCCGGTTTTCCTGGTTTTGGTATCATCGTTATCACAGCACACTTCCATTGAGAGGGAAAGTGGTGGATACGTAGCATTGAGTTAAACAAGAGAACAAGGAACAGGATTCCCTTTTTAGGCAAGGCCTTGGCGATTCTGCTATCAATGCCATCAAAGCCCGGCGCTTTTCTAGGATGAAGCTTTTGGATATGGAGATACACTTCTTCTGGGCTCACGTGTTGAATCGGCAAGGCATCCGGGGAAGGGGCATCAAGGAAGGCAAGAGTTTCTTCAACATCCTCGCGGCTCGCGAGTTCAAATGGCTGGAAGCGTCTTTCAAGTTCGTCTGCAAAAGCTAAAGAAATTTCTGAGTCGGACCTGCACCATGTGTCATCAGATTTCTTTATGGGGATCTTTCGTAGGGGCTGTCGTTTCATATTCCGTGTGCATTTCCAGAGGTTAAAGCCGTAAGGTTTGGTGGGGTCAGCATTCAGGAGCATCTCATCAAAGTATTTCCGTTTGGTTTCATAAAGAAGCTTTTTAAGATCATCCTCCGCTCGTCGATATGCACTTTTGTCGACAGGATCTTGAGATCTCATATATCTGCGACGTAGGGAGCGTTTCAGCCTTACCAGATCCATAATCTCAGGTTTTAAAGGAGCCTGAGGTGGACCTGAGGGGCTTGAGCTTGAGGTTGAGGACTCGGCAGCGATATGGATGTTCCGGACAAATAGCTCGACGGCGTCGTTGATGGCGTCAGGAGAGCGTAACACCATATTTAGGTTAACTAGCCGGTTGACTGCTTCTTGAAAGCGTGGGAGGCTCGCATTCCGAGGAAGGATGCAAGGCCTACGGGAAGTTTTTTGCGCAGCGACTCTTAGTTTCACTATCAATGGGATGTGATCAGAGCTTAGTTCAAGACTTTCTGAGATGGAGAGACTCTCGGGCCGAATCCCTCTGTAGACAGCAAAGTCAATGGCGGTTGGCGTTCTTTGACTATACGGATAGTGTGTAGGCCCTCCGGTTGCAAGGACCTGGACATTTGATCTTTGAATATAGTCAGCTAGTGCTCTCCCGCGGGTGCTTGAGTTACGGGATCCCCAGAGACGGTGGTGAGCGTTCCAGTCGCCTGCGATTATGAAATTTGTTCCCAGATCGTCGAAGAGTTTTTCAAAGTCGTCAGCAGTACATTGAAAATTTGGTGGACAATAGATAGACGCAATAGCTGTTTCACCAAGGTCTGTTTTAACTTTGACGGCGACACATTGAACATTTGGGCTTTGTAGACTATAAAACTGGTAACATTGAAGGCAGGATTTAATTAAAATTGCAGAGCCACCGCGTTTCCGATCACCCGGATGGGTTGCTTGATGTATATCGT